CCTTGCCACCACAGGGCCCATGCAGAGAGGCTTTCCTAACACTGCTCTGCAGCCTTTCAGCCTGCCTGCTCTGCCCTGAGCATTGCTGTGACAATAGGCAGAGGCTTGAGCTGGGGCAAGACGTCTCCACTAGCTGTGCAACCCTGGACCGAGACCTGCCTTTCTTGAATGACGAAGTCAGTCTGAGAGCCCCTACCTGTCCACTTCCACAAGGCAAGGAACACAGGGAGAGGAGATGGACAGGGACATGAGAGGAGGACCGGGGTGGAAAACCGAGAGTCATAACGGTGAGCTTACCAATGGCTCCCATCCAGCCAGCCCGTGTTCAGTTCAGTGGGCAGGAGAAGGTCCTCATTGCCAGGTTTTCTCCCTTTTCACATATTTGGGGGACGCAGGAGCCTGGCCTGCGTGTCCCCGAGTCAGGGCCAGAAGCTCTCAGTTGCAAGTGGTCTGGGCAGCTCTGCAGAAAACTCTCCCCCTGCAGAGAGTGGCCTTTGAGAGCCCAGAAAATTATGTGAAGGACCAAGGCAATCAATGGCCAGGTCTGAGGTGATCAGAGGCGCTCTGTCCCACATGTGGGGTCTCCCAGAAATCTTGGCTATGCAGGAGAATCCAGTGCCTGTCTGCTTGCATGGGTAGCCCTGGGGCTCCTGTGGTTCTGGGTCCTCTCCTTGAGGACAGATGGGAACAGTCCTGTCAGAGGAGACCCAAGGGTACACCTAGTCATGCTGGCCCAGCCCCACGGTGTGTCCCTTCCTTCCCCTCAGGGTCTCCAAGGGAAGAGCAACAAATGGATTCTCTCTGGAGATGGCTTACAATAGAATATGACCAGAGAGGCCTTTTCTGCTGTCTGTGGAGGGACACACAAGGGACCCAGCACTCAGGAGTCTGAGGCAGGAGGATTCATGTTCAGAGACAGCCTAGACTTTCCAGTAAGAGCTTGTCATCCCAAAAATTCACAAGGCCAAGACAACATAAAGTAAAAACAACTTTCCTATGGTGGGTTTTGGGCACCTGGGAGGGAAAAGACTCCCCCACGTAGTTACTGTTGTGAACGCTCCAGTCTCATGGCACAGCGCCAAGGGACCAGAGCTAGCTGCAGGCTGTCACTCCTGTCCTCTCCTTGAGCCCCCACACAGCAGAGTTCTCCTCGCCTCTAAGCCTGGTGGTCAGGTACATACAGAGGCACCCCTGAGACTGTTGGCTAAGGCTGGGTGGGGCCACAGGGAGCCAGGCATGGCAGGCCTGGTACAGACAGAGCAGGGAGCAGAGCAATGTTCAGGCTTGGAAGTAGGTAGGGGTGAGAGGAGAGGCTCTGCGTTGGCCTGGGCTGTACGGACCAGTAAGCTGCTGCACAGGGTCCCTATAACCATAAGCAGGAGTGTCCACAGCCAGCGCTCCACTCTGTCAGGGCTCTGCTGAGTATCGGTCTCTTTCCCAGGAAGTGCACACCCACCCGTACACAGACAACGAGTGCACACCCACTTGTTCACAGGCAATCAGTGCACACTCACTCATACACAACCAGTGCACACCCACACATACATAAACCCATGGTTACACAATCAGTGCATATCCACACATACAAACAATCAGTGCACAACCACATATACACAGAGAATCAGTGCACACCTACACGTACAATCAGTGCCCACCCATGTGTACAATCAGCACACACACACACACACACACACACACAGACAATTAGGAGCAGTTAGAAAGCCTGCGGACACATACTAGATACACATCCATAGTAGATCCACATCCACAGCTGTATGTATTGTATGCGGCCCACACAGCACACTGTCAGGGGCAGACACGTGTACATAGATGCTCTAGACAGATACACACATGTCACCAAGGCTGGTAACAAGGCCCCTGAACGCTCTCACCTGGCATACTGTGTCCCATCCCATTTGCACATCTGGGACACAAAGCCAGGGACTTGGGAGACCTTGGTCCTGTCGCCATAACTTGGGTTGCATCTCATCAGTCTGCCTGACACGCGTGGTCTCGAGAACTCTAATACCCTTCCTCCATGTCCTCAGACAAATCAACCACAGATAAAGAACTGGGGGAGCCTGGAGTCCCCTCTGGACATAAAGAATCTGGGGCCTCCGACAGACAGACCTGATGACATCAGAGTTGAGAGAGGTGGGTATGGGGAACACATAGAACAACAACAACAACAAAAAAAAAAACACTAAAGGTAAGTCAGGCACATGGAGGAACAACTGGGCATGCACATGTGTGTGCATGTGTATGTGATTGTATGTACGAATGCATAAGTGTGTGTACATGTGTATGCATAGGTGTGTTATGTGTGTATGCGTATGTGATTATATGTACGAATGCATAGGTGTGTATACATGTGTGTGCATTGTATGTGACTGTATGTACAAATGCATAGGTATGTATACATGTGTGTGCATGTGTTGTGACTGTATGTACGAATGCATAGGTGTGTGTACATATGTATGCATAGGTGTGTGTACATGTGTGTATGTGATTATATGTACGAATGCATATGTGTGTATACATGTGTGTATGTGTGTGTGACTGTATGTACAAATGCATAGGTGTGTGTACATGTGTGTGCATGTGTATGTGACTGTATGTATGAATGCATAGGTGTGTGTACGTGTGTGTACATGTGTATGTGGCTGTATGTACAAATGCATAGGTGTACGTACATGTATGTGCATGTGTATGTGACTCTATGTACAAATGCATAGGTGTGTGTGCATGTGACTGTATGTTCGAATGCACAGGTGTGCATGCATGTGTGCATGTGTATGTGACTGTATGTTCGAATGCATAGGTGTGTGTACATGTGTGTTCATGTGTATGTGACTGTATGTTCGAATGCATAGGTATGTGTACATGTGTGTGCATGTGTATGTGACTGTATGTTTGAATGCATAGGTGTGTGTTCATGTGTATGTGACTGTATGTTCAAATGCATAGGTGTGTGTACATGTGTGTGCATGTGTATGTGACTATGTACAAATGCATAGGTGTGTGCATGTGTATGTGACTATATGTTCAAATGCATAGGTGTGTGTACATGTGTATGTGACTGTATGTATGAATGCATAGGCATGTGTACATGTGTGTGCATGTGAGCATTGCAGGGAGCACACGGTTACAGAGTGTGAGAACTAGGTAGGACGTTGTCTTCCTGTTCAGTTCTCCATTCACCAGTCATTTGTTCAAAAAAAAAATCAAAAATAAGAGGAAAGAGGGAAGGAGGTAGAGGAAGAGGAGAAGTGATGTAGGAGGGTCTTCATTGGTTAATTAAAAAAGAAAACTGTTTGGCCTGATAGGTCAGAACATAGGTAGGCGGGGAAGACAGAATTCTGGGAGAAAGAAGCAGAGTCGGGCAACTGCCATGATTCTCCGACCTGAGACGGACACAGGTTAGGATCTTTCCTGGTAAGCCACCACCTCGTGATGCTACACAGATTACTAAATATGGGTTAAAGCAAAATGTGAGAATTAGCCAATAAGAGGCTAGAACTAACAGGCCAGGCAGTATTTAAATGAATACAGTTTCTGTGTAATTATTTCGGGTGTAAACTAGCCGGGGAGCCGGGATCTTGACAGGAAAGCAGGCCTGCTCACCTCTTCACTACAGAGAAGGAAGGAAGGAGGGAGAGAGGGAGGGAGGGAGGGAGGGAGGGAGGGAGGGAGGGAGGGAGGGAGGGAGGGAAAGAAAATAAAGGGGGGGAGCAGAGATCCCGTTCTGGCTATTTTCAGTTTTACAGGACGTAGAATCTAACTTGTGGTGGGTGTGTGTGGAGTTTGTAGATTGGCTGAGCAGGAAGGTGAGATAAGAAGGCTGCCCTGACTGCAGGTAGCACCATCCTGTGGCCAGGGTAGCAATGAATAAAAGGGAGAAACCAAGCTGAGCACCAGGGTCCATCTCTCTCTGCCTCCTGACTGGGTGCAATCTGACTTCCCCTACGAGGGACTGTACCTCAAACTGTGAACCCAAGTAAACCCTTCCTTCCTTCGCCACTTTGTCTTCATGAGAAAATGAACGAATGTGCCCCCTGAAGTACTCCGTGAGCATCTGCTATACGCCACGCCCTGGGAGCAGCATGTGGGCTGAAGACTTACAAATGAGCACCTCCACAGCGATCTGGGGACGCAGCTGTCCACCATCCTGCCCTCCGCTTCACTTACCTGGGGTTCCTTTCCTGTGCTGCTGTGCTTTGTCTTCATTGTGCTGCAAGGGGTGAGCCGGCTGTGAGGGGTTCTGTGAGGCTGGGGAAGCCTTGGGGACCGAAGGCTCCCTGGAGAAGGAAGCCTGCACTGGGCTGGGTGGCAGGGAGCATGCTAATAACAAAGCCACGGGGATCCACACGGGGGAGGGGGGGCGGGACAGAGTGGGGCTGCCGCAGGTGTTAAGGTGAAGCCAGCACTGGGGAGTTGTCAGCTCACTTCACTTCTTGACAACCAGACATCACACCCTCCCGTTTTAGTTTCATGCTCTATCCAGTAAGTCCCTGTTGCCTACATCCCACTGACTTTGCCTAGGTCACATGTCCCCAAAGAATCATGTGACCATGAAGATCTAAAATTGTAATTGCTCTATGCATTAGTCAGCTTCCTGCTGCTGCAACAAAGGACCCAAGGTCATCAATGACCAAAGAGAAAGGATTTTGGCTCAGCATTGGGAGGCTGTAGTCCTGTAGCCCCAGATACATGGCTTTGGGATGCTGGTGGTTGGGCCAGATGGCAACGCACGGAATGAGCACACGCAAAGGGAGACACTGGTGAGGGCAAAGGTTCAGGCTCCAGCATTTCCTTCAAGGGCCTGCTCGGAGGTTTCTCCACTACTCAGCAGTAACACCTGGGACCAAACGTTAACACGGGAAACTCAGAGGACGCTGATCCAAATCAGAACAGTCTAAGACTCCACCTGGAGCACAGGGCAGGGCAACTTCCCCCAGAGCAGGTAGGATTAGCTTGGGCGATGAGGGAGAACACGCGTGACCAGAAGCAAACTTTATTACAGAGGAAGCAGACGAGAGCCACGGAGTGGCGAGTGTTCGGGAAACGGAGGAGCTGGAGGGTGAAGATGCCTGGATGCAGCTGAGAAAGCTCTGGCCTTGGGAGGCACAGTCAAGGAAGCACCTGCCACACAGGGACCAGAACCTGAGTCCAATCCCCAGTGTCAAAAAGCCAGGCTTGGTGCATATAGCTGTGCAGCCTCGGGGAAGGGGGAGACGGGGGTCTGCCTTGACCAGGGAGAGACCTTGTCTCAAAAAACAAAGGTGGATGTATATATTGGCACATACATATTCATTGCACACATGCACACCCACTCACACACGCACACGCATATGAGTGTGCACGCACACACAAGTCCTGGCCTTCATGCCAAGCAATGTTGTTGTAGTTATGGGCTCATCCTGTGTAGACTGACAGGGTTCCCTTTGACCTTTCCTTACATGTGTATACCATGCTTTGTCCATGACACACATGCGCCACGTCTCCCCCCCTCTGCTCTCCCTACTCCTACTTCTACTCTCTTGTCTTAGCTTCCACGAAATAGAGGAAATACGTGATACTCCTGTAAGCCTGGCTTACGTCACTTGACTCAACCAGAACACTATCATTTCCCGGCTTCTCCTCGTCTCCTCCAAGGCTGGGTAATGCCCTCCAGTGTGTTTATGGTGTTTTCCACATGTTTGTTAGTGGCTGCACAGCTATGCTGATTCCCGTCCTGGCTGTCGTTTATCGTGAGGGGCATGATAAACATGATGCATGCTTGTCTCCGGAGTTCGCCGACTCCACTTCCTTCAGAGACACTCAGGGGTTTTATTGATGGGTCATTAGCAGTTTTCAGTTCTTTAACCAACAAATTCCTGCCCACAGCGACTGTACCAGTTTACCCAGCGGCAGTCACTAGGGTCCATCTTCCCTGTGTCCACCAGAGTCCATGGTTCTGCTGTTCTTGTAACTTCTCTGGGAACACTGACCTGGGTGAGGTAGACCTGTGGCATCATCCTATTTTTTGTTTCCGTGACAGACAAGGGTGCAGAGTGGCTTTCATGTGTTTATTGAGCATCTTTTCTTTTGAGAAATGCCTGTTCAGACCACTCACCCATATTTTTTTATTGGATTATTTGACCTTGTCAATTTTTTAGTCCCCTGTGCAATCTGGACATTGGCCCTGTTAGGTAAAAGTGAGCTGGGTTAAAGAGACGGATGAAGCCGTCTTTTTATCCTGACCTTTGCCCCTGTGCCTTGGAGACTATAACACTATGTAACTTTGTGCGATGCTGCATCTCAGTTCCTGCTTGTGTTTCCTGAGGTAGTGGAACTTTGCTCCGAAAGTCCTTGCCTCTGATGATGTCTTGGTTGTTTCCCTGTGCTTTTCCTTTGGGTCAAAGCTTTAGGTCTACCGAGTCTCCGATCCATTTTTAGCTGCTCTTGTATCGGATGAGAGATAGGATCTTGTTTTAATCTCCCACACATGCAAACCCAGTTTTCCCAGCAGGATGTGTTGAGGGGCCGCCTTCTCCCCAGCAGGTCTTTCGGAAAGTTCAGAGAAAGCCTTGAACTTGACTGACAGACCTCTGAAAGACTGAAGGTCCTGAGATCAGGCCCGAGCTGGGATGGTTCCTGCCTTCCTCCTGCCAGATGTGTGCCTGCTGTGCTGTTCTCCGACTGGAGCACCTCCAATGCCTTCAGACGACAGCTCTGGAGCTACCATCAAGCCCAGGAAGGTGTAGACCCCTCTGAGTTACACAGAAAAGTGTAACTCAGTGGTGAGGAGAGTGCCTGTGGCTCTTTGCAAAAATGCCACAGAGAAAGAACTCGTCACTCATACTCCACAGACACTTTCTTCTGTGGCATGGGTTTGAGTGTAGCTGTGACCACGCAGTAAGAGCCTCCCTCCGCGGCTCTGCAGGGTGGATGGGCTTAAGGCAGTAACGAGTGGACACCACAGACGGGAGAAATCTGTGGACTGAGTGTAAGTGGTCAGGGCAGATGCCAACGGTCTAGAGCATCGGGGATGCAGGCAGGGCATGAAGTAGGGTGAGCATGGGGCCCCTCGCCAACACCGTGAGATCTGAGCCATGACCCCAAGAACAAAGGAATGAGCCATCGCTCCCCAAGGGGACGACTGTCCAGGCTGGTGGCATGGCTGAGCTCTCCCTACTGGGAGGGAAGACCGGGAGCCCTGCACCCAGAAACTAGGAGGGAGCATGGCAGAGGTGAGATCACAGGCTGGTCACAAAGCCCTTGAAGCCCGAGTAGAATGACCTCACTGGCTGCTGGGGGCCCAGAAAGCCACAGAAGCAAAGATCATGTGGACCATTGCAGTGAATCAACAGACAGCATGGGGTCCAGGGAGACGGAGGAAGGGGCAGCCATGAGCAAGGACGGCTGGTGGTTGAGAATCACAGGGCCAAGCAGTGCAGTCAAGCGAGCCCTGAGAGGGAGCAGTGTTCTTTCTGGAATGGCACGGCCCAGCCACTCAGGCCTAATCAGGCCCCGTATGCCCCTTGTTAAGGGGGTCATCAGCCTGCCTCTCTCCCAGGTCATTCATGCTGACCACATCCTCTTGGGCAGTAACCCTGCTGCTCTCCGAATGGCTAGATGGCAGAGCCTGGGCAGGGCCAGGGTCCCGGTGCCATCTCAGCACGGCAGCCAGGAAAGCTTTCAGATACTGCCGGAAGCGGCGGCTGGAAAAGGCGTAGAGGATGGGCGTGAAGCAGCAGTGGAAGAAGGCCAGGCTCTCCGTCACCTGCATCGTGTAGTCCAGAGAGTGGCTGATCTGGCAGTTCCCGAAGACATGCAGGTCCAAGAGCGAGTGCAGAAACACGGTGAGGTTGTACGGGAACCAGAGCAGGAAGAAAACTACCACCAAGGCCGCGGCCATCCTCAGAGCCCGGCCCTGGCCTGGCGGCCTCAGCCTGACCAAAACACAGCCGATGCGGGAGTAGAAAAAGACCATGGCCAAGAGTGGGAGGAGAAACCCCAGAAGGTTCTGCTGGAAGCGCAGGTAGAGCTTCCAAACGGTCGCGTGTCCACCAAAATCCGCGTAACAGTGCAACACACCATCTGAGGTCTGGTGGACCTTGACAAAGACCATCTCTGGGAGAGAGATGGCCAGGGCCGTGGTCCACACTGCGGCAATGAGGAGCAAGTTCCTGAACCGGGTCTGCGGTCTGTGGAGAGGCTGAGCATGAACGATCTCCAGGTATTTGTTCAGGCTCACGCAAGTGATAAAGAAGATGCCGCTGTAAAAGTTAATCGTGTAGAGAACGCTCACCACCTTGCACATGAAACTGCCAAAAACCCAATGCCAGACCACAGAGATGGCCCAGAAGGGCATCGTCACTACAAACAAGAGGTTGGAGATGGCCATGTTCAGCAGGTAGAGCTCGATCATCCGTCTTCGTGGTGTGTAGCGGAGAAGTACCACCAGGAGGAGGAGGTTCCCAGCCAAGCCCAGCACAAAGATCAGGCTGTAAATGACCGGCAGAAAGACTCTCCCAAAGGAAAGGACCTCATCCTTCCTGCAGACCAAGACGGTCACATCCTCCAGGTAATCGTAGTCGTAGATGGAGCTGCTGTTCTCGGAGCTGGTGGTGAGTGGCAGGGGGGAGGCTTTGGTGGGCATGGCTGAACTTCTGCAGGAAACAAAAAGCCATAGTGAGAGCCTGGGGAAAGAGCTCGGTGGGGTGAGGCACTTGCTGGGCAGGCATTAGGGCCTCAGCGCAGATGCCCAGACCCATGTGAAGCCGGAGGCAGCGGTACATCTATAATCCCAGAACTCCTACAAAGAGACAGGAGACAGAGACAAAAACCTCAGCAGCTCAAAGGCCAGTTAGCCTGGGGTACACGACCGCAGAGAAGACAGAGACATGCATTTGTCCTCCGACATCCACTGGGCTGCCCGTACTCACATACATGAACATGTAAACACATGCAAACACAAAGATTAAAGAGAGAAACCTAAACTATGAACGCCTGTGTCCCCTCAATCCCTGAGCCCAAATAATGCACCTTCCTTAAGTTGATATTCTTCTGAGGCTGTGGCTAAATACCTGAACAGCAACCCGAGGTGGTGCCACTCAGCATGCATGGTACAAGTTGGGGTGACGTGCAGATAGACACTGCATCTCACTGAGCAGGTTAAGGGGAGCATTGTCTAACCAGGGCTGTCACTTCCCCAGAGGTTTTAATATGTGGGTTCAGTTTTGCCAGCATGTGAACACAGAATAGCCAGAATCTGGCTGTTGTCAACATTCTGAGGGGTAGCATGGTTGGTATATATTAGCCTGGAAGTTTCCAGTGCATGTGCCCAGGAGAGTAGCAAATGCCAGAGCAATTTCCAGAATGCTCTGGTATGAGAACTGGACACCCACCCCGCTCACACTGACTCGTGGAGTCCAGAACCAGAAGAGGGTCATCAACTCAGACCAGCGCCTCCAAGTTTGGCTCCAGAGACAGCAAGTCTGCTGAGTAGGCAGAGACTACAAGTCCAAAGCAAGGCTGGCTCATACAGCCAGCTCCAGGCCACCCAGGACTACACAGGGTTTAGTTTAGAAACACAAACAGACTTTTAAAAAAATGTTGGTAGTCAACTGACTTCTGTCTCCTCTGTTCCCCTTTTCATTGACAACGCAAGAGGTTCCTCCATCTTGTATTCTTGCTGAAGCCATTTTAGGCTTGACTAGAATTTGATCTCCTTAGTGGAGAATGCCATAGAAGAATTGCCTAAGTATATTCTAGAACTCAGAGATCAAAATGCCCCAGCTAACTTAGCTGGTTAAATTGTCTGCCTGTGCAGAAGCCCCCTCCCTCCAGCTAACTGCTTATCTTGGCTTCTGTTAAACTGCTTACTGGAGTGGAGTGCCCCTACCCTACCCCTGCCCTGCCCAGCCCTGCTGCATCTGCCAAGTGAAAAGCCGGGGTGTTGGTTTTGCCTTCGAAAACCCCTTGATTTGGACACTCTGTGCTACACGTAGGTTCTGAATGCCTGAGTGTAGACCTAGTCAGCTGAAATAAAGACTTTCAATCGGCTACAAACTGTTTTGGCGGCCATCTCTGGGAGACTCCCCATTACACCACCACAGACTAACATCCTGACTGTGCAACCCCTCAGCAGATTTGTAACTTTGTATCACTCTCCCCTATACCTCTTGTCTATCATGCCACCTCCCAACAAATCAATGCGGCTAGCTGGTCCATAGGGACTCCGACTCATGGCTATTCCAGGCATATTTGTTTCAAGGGCTTCTGGCCCGGAGCTGTAGCTGGATTCCTTCTCTGCATGCCTTGCAGCGCAGGTGTCTTTTGAGCAAGTCCCCTGAACTGTATTAAAGCTTAGATGGAATACGGATTGCTCAACCGTGCTGTCTGCCTGGGTAGCTGGTAGCAGCTGGGCTTGGTTGCACTCTGGCTTACCTCTTGCTTGCAGTGTCTGGTCTCTGAGCCCAGCCAGAATGCTGGTGTTAGTTTCAAATTGGTGCCTCCTTTTTTCTGCTCCCTTTCCAGTTCCCCTGCTGTTCTGGCTTTCCTCTCTTCTCAGAATTCTTTTTCCTTGTTGCCCTGGCTCCTCTCTTGCAGAGTTGTGGGAAGTGGTGCGTCTCTGCTTCTCTAATGAGAATCTGCCTTCGAGGTTTAAAAATACCCACAGCACACATGATTCTCTGCAGTCAGTGTACCATGCAGAGGCTCCCTGCGCCTCTTCCGCCACAGACTACATCCTCACCCATCCAGCCTCTTCCACACCTTCTGTGATTGCTCATTTCTCTCTCTGTGAGGCCTGCATTTCCCACACACATACATCTGGTGGTTCGATGTACAGTTATTTTGAGAATCTGCATGCTAAATGCCATGGCGGTGGGGCATTTTTCCTGGGCCTTCGGCTAAGCTCTGAATGCATGGTGACCACACTCATTTACATCCCTCCAACGGCTTTTGAGCCTCTTTTCTCTGCATCCCAGCCAGCAAGGTTGCACTATGTGTCTCCTTTTGGGAAATATCTTCACCCTCTCTGGTCTTTTGTTTGTTTTGTTCTGTTTGCTTTGATTTGTTTTGGTTTTGAACTTGCCTTGCAGCAGAGGCTGACCTTGAACTCCAGATCCTCCTGCCTGCTTCTCCCAAGCACTGAGATTGCAGGCTTGTACTATCATGCCTAGCTAATCATTTGCTCATTTTAAGATCAGATAGTTTGGGAGAGGGTAATGGCTTAAGGTCCTTATATATATACTCCTGGTATTAATCCCTTGTCAGATGAATAATTCATATTTTTTGCTACCCTGTAGGCTCCCTCATCATTCTTCTGAGTCTCTCCTCTGCACTGCTTTGATAAAGTTCATTTTCCCCACCCCAGCCTCTAGTTTCGGTCTTTGCTTTTGCTGTCTTGTCTAGAAAACCTTCACCCACACCTATGTACTGCTATGTAGCAAAGCATGAGATTGGCATGAACCATGGCGTGGGTGAACATGAGAATAGCATGAACCATAGCGTGGGTGAAGTGAACTTAACTTGTGCTCAATTCTGTGCTGAGTTACAGAAAAAGAGAGGTGGGGGCAGGTACAGAGGCAGAAAAAGAGGACAGTATTTGGGGTGACTGCCTGACATCTGTCAGTCATCCCTTTGACCACCTAATGTGGCTTATCTGACTAGCAAAGTGGGCATCCCCTTCCTTACACCACACACACACACACACACACACACACTGCCGTATGTCCGTCTTGAAGTTGCACGCTTAGACAAAGAGGATGCCCTTCCTTCATAGCAGAAGATGCCTCTTTGATCAAGAATATAGGACTAACTTCACTCCCTGTTAGAACCCAAGGGGAGGGGCCTTTAAGTCCAACACATTGCGTAGCTCACCAGTGGGAAGGGCTTTGGAGGACAGAGGGGAGGGGGGCACTACAGAGGGTCTGCGGGCTGGTGGTGCTAATGAGTCATGAGCCATGAAATACGCACCAGTTCCTCCTAAACAGTCATGAGCCATGAAATACACACCAGTTCCTCCTAAACATCATCTGTACTTTGTTCCCTGTTTTCCAGACCCACTAGGGTGAGCGTCTTATGTGCTCAGTGGCAGCTTGTACTCATATTTATTTATGCCTTTAGTGGGTGGGAATCTCATTCCATAAGAAGTTGGGGGATTGTAGTGATCCCCTTGCCTCGCTTCTCAAGTGCTATAGTGCCGGCACACGCTGCCATAACTTGTTTTTTGTAAGGAGGTTTATGTGGTATGGGTTTTACCTTCTTCATGTATGCTGCTTTCTCCAGTTCTTATAGAATTTTGTGGGCTTTTTATTTTATTTTTATAAGAAGAATTTTGAAAGTGTTGCTGGCTCGAGAGGCCCAAGTGGGACTCTGAGCACATGAGTTTGGAAGGAATGGACTGGGTGGGGACATCACCCCTCCCATGGAACGCTGGAGACTCCCTCTCCGTCAGCCTCTGCCCCACCCTTGGGCTCCTATCTAATAGCATGGGGACCAGATGCTGGGCAAGCCGTAAACATGTCTGGGAAGTCATTTTCCTGGCTGGCCTCAGAGATGGCTCTGAGTGCCTCCCATTCCCGGGCTGGCATCCGGAGCTAAGCTGAGGAGGGGTACAGGTGAAGAGAGCCCTTCTGAGGCTCAGGGCTTGTCAAGCAGGATGCCAGTAACTGCACCCTCGCTGTTCTCTGCAGCTCTGTACCCTTGCCCTGGCCTTGATCTGATTTCTCAAAGACCCTGACTTTTGCTTTAGCAAACATGCAACCTAACAGATGCTGAGATCAAAGTCGGGGACAGCAGCTCTACTTGGGCCTGAGCCACTTCTGAAGGTCTTCCCCCTCCTCCCCTTGAGGATTCTGGGAAGCTCTCCAGGTTCTCTGAAGCAATAGGCCTCCCCCAACACTTCCATCCACACTACCCGACTGATTCAGCAACTCTGTCCTTGTATACTGTATGGACGGCACGTGCCTCCCTGGCCGCTGTGCAGTCCTGTAACTCACAAGAACGAGTGTGAGCACTGGTCATCTTTATCCCCTTATATTCACTTGCTTCTCCATCAGAACCTTGAGCAGAATGAGTTGTTCCCTTCTCGGGGTAAGTTTGTGGGTACTAAAGGAGACTCTGCAGGGAAAACTTTGGGGGATCCAGAGAATCGCTTAAGGACATCCAGTCAGAGGGCCGACAAGTTTAGATTCCGCTAAGCTCACTGTGTCCCATAAAGCTAGGGATGCAGAGGCACACGAATTTATCTGTGGGACAGTAAGGTTGTTATCTATGCTGGGATGTAGCTGAGCTGTTGGTGCCACAGGTTTGGCTCTCAGTGCTATATGGCTGTGGTACACACCTTCAATCCCTGAACTCAGGAGATTTAAAAGTAGGAGGATCACAAGTTCAGGATCATCCTCAGTCACACAGAAAGTTCAAGATGAGACTGAGGTACATTAAATCCTGTCTCAAATAAAATAGGATAGAATAAAATAAAACCTCCAAAAACAAAAACAAAAAGCACAGCTCCATCCACATGGCATGTGGCCTTGTGGGCTGCACCGCGTGAGCTCACTCTCAGGGACAAGTGGCTTTGAGAGCCGCGACGTGTGACCTAAGCATGCCTGGAACTTCCTCCCAGGATGCTCAAAAGCTACTCCAGTGACTTCCATGTCCCAGAGTGTTGGAAGAGAGAGCCGCTTGTTCGTCCCAGCCGCCCAGAATTGAAATAATCACACAGAAACTGTATTATTTAAATCACTGCTTGACCCATTAGCTGTAACTTTTCATTGGCTAACTCTTACATCTTAATTTAAACCATTTTTATTAATCTGTATTTTGCCACATGGCAGTGGTTTACCGGCAAATATTCAGCATGTCTGACTCTGGCGGCTCCATGGCATCTCTCTCTGACTCCGCCCTTCTTTCTCCCAGCATCCAGTCCAGTTCTCCCTGCCTACCTAAGTTCTGCCCTATCAACAGGCCAAGGCAGTTTCCTTATCCATTAAGGTAATCACAGCACACAGAGGAGAATCCCACATCACCAAAGGGTGAAACAGGCATGATGAGGTAACACCCAGCTCCCAAAGCCGTGGATGAGCTGGTGGACTGAAAACCCAAGGGAGAACTGCCATGCCTTAGTCTGAGGTCCCCCTTTCAGCAGACAAACTTAAGTTTGAAGGATACAACTCCTTCAATGGAGCTTCCAGCCTGAGCAACATAGGCCAGAGAAAAGTTGGACAATGGAGCCAGCCCCTGCAGCTGTGCAGCTGGCACGTGGCCTTGGCAGGCAGTCTGCGAGCTCTTCACAGTGACCAACACTGTGGTCAGTGCTGGGAGAACTGAGTGTGGCAAAGGCCATCGTGGGGGTTTCCCCATGCTTGGATACCCCGCACTAAACTCACGTTGCCTATTCAACCTTTATCCAAGTCATAGATCTGAACTTCAAGATCTGAGATCCAGAGCTGCGGACAGGCATCCCTCCTTCCACTGCCCTGGATCCCGGCCAAGAACTCTTTTATTTTGTTTGTTTGGTTGGTTTTGGTTTTGGTTTTTCGAGACAGAGTTTCTCTGTAGCTTTGAAGTCTGTTCTGGAGCTTGCTCTGTAAACCAGGCTGATCTGGAACTCACAGAGATCCACCTGTCTGTGCCTCCCAAGTGCTCGGATTAAAGGCATGCTCCACCACCGCCAGGCACCCAGCCAAGAGCTCTAAAGAACGGTGTCAGGGGGGTAGTTTGCCCAAGGGGCTGACCTCCATCATAGGAGGTCATAGCAGAGTGTGCTGTGGATGGTGCAACCCAAAAAAATGTGCAAACTGCTCAAACAAACAAGACCTCACAGGCTCCGCAGCTCTGGCGACTTCTAGTGGACAGTACCCTTCCTCCCTGAAAGACACCCCTCCCTGCAGCACCCCTGCCCGGTCCCCAGCACTCACACAGGGTACTCCTGGCTGGCCTTCCTTCACCTTCCAGACACAGAGCTGGATTCTCCTAAGTCTGGGGGCTCCAAAGGTGACAGCCGTCTCCAGCACTCCTCGATGCAGGCCTGGCATCGGAACAAATGACGGCGGTGTAAATGGTGTGGCCGCCTCCTCTCCTCCCTCTCTTTGCTCATTTTTTCCTTTCTGATTTTATTTCCTCCAGGCACAGCTCGGGCCAACTTCGCCCCTGCTGCCTCAGGATCCTGTGATCCAGAACACAGCCAGCGCAGAGCCTCAGGCTATCCAACCCTCCCCAGAGACTCCCTGGTTGGTCTGGGGAACTACTCTTGCTCGGCTTCTGATGGCCCCTCTAGCCCTCAGCCCAGAGTTGTGGCATTCTCAATATCCTTGGCCCAACAGTAGCTACAGACATCGAGTCAGCCCCAGCCACTAGATGCAGGGACATCCTCCATCCCCAGAATAGCTACACAGATAGGTTGTGCCAGGCACCGGAAGCCTGTCTCTAGGGGGCTGTGGGTAGTACTGGCTCTCTCCTTCCTCCCTCCATCACGGGTTTGAGAAACCATCAGTTCTCAATCCTAGCTGCATGTGTAGCCACACGCTACAGTTACACAGTGCTCACTGCAGGCCAGGGTCTATTCTCAGGATTTCTCACCTTTGTTCATTCATTCTGTCTCTGGAACAGTACTATGGCAGCTGTCTCTATGCTCCGTTCCCTTAACTTTGTTGAGACCTTCGCTCACAGCACAGCTGACCTCAGACTTGCTACCCTCTTTCTGCACTCTGAGCACTGGATTACACTTTCCGCACTGCACTAACTGCTCCTTTTTAAAGCATCTCTGTCTCTCTGTCTCTCTGTCTCTCTGTCTCTCTCTGTCTCTCTCTGTCTCTCTCTGTCTCTCTCTGTCTCTCTCTATTTTATGTATGTCAATAATTTGCCCAGATAGATGGATTATACCTCGTGTGTGCCTGGTGGCCATGGAGACCAGAAGAGAGTGTCAGATCCCCCGGAACTGGAGTAACAGAGTTAGGAGTCACCCCTTGGGTTCTGGGAACTGAACCTGGGACGTTTGGAAAAGCCTTTGACTGCTGAGCCATCTCTCCTGCCCCAACATGCTATTTTTCTTGATGTCTAAAATAACATGTGTCAAGGGCTGGGGAAAGAAAGTCTGTAAAGTGTTAGCCTTGCAAGCCTGGGGACCTGAATTAGGTCCCCAACACTCATGTAGAAAGCTGGGCTTGGTAACATGCCACCTGTAACTCCTGTCCTGAGGAAGAAGAGGCAGGATGGCCCTGGACACACTGGCTAGCCAGACAACCCAAATCAGTGGGCTCCAGACCAGTGAAAGACCCTATCTCAAACAAAACAAAACAAAACAACAACAAACAGACAAATGACCCCTAAGGAACAATACCCAGTACCAGGGCCAGACGTGGTGGCGCACGCCTTTAACCCCAGCACTTGGGCGGTGGAGGCAGGTGGATCTCTGAGGTCAAGGCCAGCCTGGTCTACAGAGTAAGTTCCAGGACAGCCAAAGC